AGCCTCCGGGAAGAAGCTGTACATCTCCAGGAGATAATGAGAGCAGTGCGCGGGCAGTTGTTAAAATAAGCATTCAGTGTTGAATCCGATGTATACAGGAGTCCAGTGGTGTTTTTTAAATGTAATAGTTTTGTGCATTTGCCTTCCCGATGTAAAGCCATTCATGTCATGACGTCGTGTGATGAAACCTCCCGAAATAGATTAAGAGTTGGCAACCCTGCCTCTCGGCCATGAACAACTGGTGCCTCCCGAGATGGGGGGCACCGGAGCAGGGACCAGCCGCAGGCGTCGGTGTCAGTGGCAGCAAGCGAGGACAGGTGGGCAGATGAGAATAGGATGGAATTCAGTGCAGACAAGTGCAAGGGGCTGCATCTAGGGAGAAGGAGTCAGCAACACACCTACAGGCTGGGGAACACCCTTGTTGTCAGCGCAGAGGCAGAAAGGGATCTTGGAGTCACTGTTGACTCCAGGATGAACATGGACTCGAGGAGGCGGTCAGTAAAGTTAACGGCACCTTGTCATGCATCTACAGATGCATCACAACCAGGTCCAGGGAGGTGATACTTCCCTTCTATGCTGCATTGGTCAGACCGCAGCTGGAGTACTGCGTCCAGTTCTGGGCGCCACACTTCAAGAGAGATGTGGACAACATGGAGAGGGTGCAGAGGAGGGCCACTCACATGGTCAAGCGGCAGCAAGGTGGGCCCTATGAAGAGGCTAAAGGGGCTGAATCTATTCAGCCTCCAAAAGAGAAGGCTGAGAGGTGATCTGGTATCCTTTTACAAACTCACCAGAGGGGACCAGTGGGAACTGGGGGAGGCTCTGTTCCCACAGGCAGCACCTGGGGTTACTAGGAATAATGGCCACAAATTATTAGAGAGAAAGTTCAGGCTGGACATCAGGAGACATTACTTTACAGGTAGGGCTGGCAGGCTCTCGAATGGGCTTCCAAGGGAGGTGGTGCTCTCTCCTACATTGGGAGTCTTCAAGAGGAGGCTGGACAGATACTTGGCTGGGGTGATAGGACCCCAGCACCCATTCCTGCCCGGGGCAGGGGTCAGACCTGATGATCTGTTTAAGTCCCTTCCGACCCTAAGTACTATGATACTATGACTGCCTGCAGATGCTGGTGTCAGTGAACGGGGACCACCCACAGGCATTGGTGTCATCAGCAGCATGCAAGGACCACCTGCAGACATCAGTGTCAGCAGCAGGGAACACCAAGCGATGACTGGCCGCAAGTGCCAGTGTTGGTGTCAGCAAGCGGGGACCACCTGCAGACTCCAGCATCAGTGTTGGCGGCAGCGAGCATAGATCACCTGCGGACACCAGAGGCGGTGTTGGCAGTGAGGGGAAGGGAGACAGGTAGCAACGGCAACTGCCCACAGAAGCCAGCAGCAGCTTCAGCAGCAGCCAATCTCAAGGGGGGGGCACATGCCCCCCCATGTTTCCCCTACACATTGCCTATGCTCTTGGCTCACACAAGCTGCGGCCGTGTGCCTTGGGTCATCAAAGAATGGGAACTGCTGTCCTAGAAACATCAGTCGTGAATGCTGGCAACTGACCTCCGCCTGGGCATATGCGGCAAGAAACAACCTTCCCTTCACTGGTTCTTTGTGTAAGAGTTGTTTCAAATCAAAGATCTGCACCTTCAAGAAAAGAAAGAGAAGAAATCCTACCTGTTGGGGAAAAATTAACAGAATTTGGGCACAAAATGAAAATAAAAATCTAAACTTGTGTGTCATGAAATAGGAACAGTGTACTGATGTCTCCGAGGGCTGGGAAAGCTAGTTGACAAAATAATCAAAAGAAATGTTCTTCATGTTAATGAACTCAGCTGAGGGTTACAGCCATACCTGGATGCAAGAACGTGTATCCTGGCAAGGTCCAATGCAAGACTGAAAATCAATACAGCTGTAGTCACATAAACATTTATAGAAGGTATCTGGGGACATGGCCAATCACAGTGGAGTCTTGGGTCATGGCTAGGGCTCTTAGGTTAGTATCAGTCATACAAATAATAGTGCTTTAACTGCTATATAAACTTAGGACAAAGTCTTCAGACTAGTGTAGCTAAAGTCAGGCAGCTGACTCCACAATGAAACACCCAAATATGTGGTGTATATGTTAGACATGCTCTATTACATTGTCAAGTTATTTAAAATCTTTAATGCTGTGTTTCAGTTTTCACATATTTTAAATATGAATTATTTGTTGTGTTATGAAGTTTAATTCATTCATAATTGCTTATTCATTATGAGATCCTTGGTTGGAAATGGTCTTGTAGCACAGAGAGGGTGGTGGTTGTACACCCATAGCTTTTACTGACTTCAGTACGAGCTGAAGTGCTCATCCTCTATGAAAATCAGGACACTTAGGTACCTAAACATGGATGAAGACTCATACCTTTTGGTGCCAAAATTTGAAAACTGTTATACTACTACCTAGTTGACAATACTTGTGAATACCTTATAGTACAAATAACTTTTTGCATCCTTATACTTCAACAAGACTTAGTCTATAAATGAAACCATCCTTAACCATCAGAAAATGTTTGGCAATTCAAGGCTCTGTGGCATCATATCCACCTCTAGTGTGGTTTAAGTAGTACTTACTGCATATTCTCTAAATGTATATATCATAAAAACATTTCCAATTTCAAGCATTCCCCACTGTGCTGTGTCCAAAGTCTTAAAACCTACATCTGAAGCAATTCTTGTCCTAAGAGTCTATCCATGCCATATAACTTATATGCTCACTTTTGTACACTTGTTTTCATACTACAGACAACAGTTTGATACAAGATTTTTTACATAAAATATATATAAACTTGTTTATTGATATAAATTGTGTGCATCCACCCCTTTGACTAAGTAAATATAGTCTTTAAATGCTAGTGCAAAAACATTCAACCCACGCAGAGATTGTTATAGCTTATACATTCTAGTAAATACCTTGGCTTCAAGCAATAATGTAAAAATATACATATAAAAATAAGCTAAAATTAGAAGCAATATAACAAAAGCAATGAAAGTGAAATACAAGAGCTACAAGGAAACCTGATATACTAATCTTCCCTAGTAACTGCTAGTAATAAGATTTATGAGTATGACTATATTATCTCTATATTACACTATGAACTGATTCACTGTGTGCAGTAAAAACACTTCTCTCCCTATCACAGTTGTACAACACCTGGAAGATGGCTGCAACAATCAGAAGTCTTTGTAGTAACTAAAACAGTAGCTCCTTCCTCTGTGGCTGGTAATGGGAAAGAGGTATCAAAGCCAGTTTGGGGTTTCACCAAGTTATAGTCCACACAAGTGCATTCCTGTACTGAATACATGAGTGATGATTCACTTTGGAGTGTCTCTCCAATTCCATCTGCATTCACACAGCTCTCAGTGTCAGTCTGGAGTATAATATTTAGCTTCACGGAAGGTTCTGTAAAAGTATGGTGGGGTATTTCAGTATGTGCCATATAGTCAGTAAGAATTCAGATGTGTGTATTTACTAACCTAATTAATGTATATTAGTAGAAGAAGCTTTGCTGTAAATATTAATGAGTACAAAAAGTGCAAAAACTTACTGAATCCTTTACTACCAAGGGCAAAAGGCACCATATGCATGACTCTGATGCATTACAGATTTAAAGCAAATCAATTAACCCTTTACAAGGTGGGAGGCTAATCTTTAGTTTTTATTCTTGACCCAGGTAAAAATCAATGAGAAGATTAAGCACTTGATAAAGAAAATCATAGAGGTGGTCTACCAACATAGTAATAAGACAGTTGAAAATACGTTCTGGAGTGCAAAACCAAGTATGTGTGTAACAAAAGAGCTGAGGGTTACAGATTTTTACTGGAAATAGTCTGATATCTTGACTCATGCTTGGAAGCACTTTACTCCACAATTAGTCCCTTTGACTTCAATGGGACTGTTTGTGGAATTGAGCGCTATTAAATTTTAGTAAAGATATGTGATTCTGGCAATGTATGCCACACCCAAAATCTATATATTTGAAAAGCATAGTTGAAATTCTTAATAATATTTCATACCTGTACTTTTCAATTCTTCCTTTGATGGTTTTGAGTACCTCCTTTTAAATAGGACCATTAATACAAACACTGCGAATGTTAAAAGTATTCCTATGCCTAAACAGATCCAAATAATTCCATGTGATAATTTCACTGGGTCTGCAGCACCTTCAAAATAAAGTAGACATTATATAAATTAAAAATAGAAGCAATAAAGAATAAGTACATGACCTAATATATGAAGCCTTTCACATCTGTCAAGAGTAATTTGCTGAGTTATGGCTCAGCAATTTTAAACATTTACTTGTGCTAATGTAGTTCAGTTCATATACAGGATACTTTGTATATGTCTTCACTTGGTCAGATCATATTTTCGTATTTCAGATCAATGCAACAAGCAATGTAAAAATGCACAACAAAATATTGCAGAAATATTACTTACTCTCATTACAATAGTTCTGACATGAAAAAGGTGGCTTACTGGAGCATCGAAGGTGACAAGGCTTACAGGACTGCAGCAAGCTATCAAAATATTCATTTTGGAAGCAATGTTGAGCCATCAGGATCAATAAACAGAAATGGTCAAAAAGTAAAGACAAGAAAAGTAAGAAGGACTTCCTCACGTGTTACTTTGCATGAGTCGTAGTAAGAATTACTAGCGACAGCAGCTAACTATTTCTCAAAATTCCTCTTTGAAAGATCACATTAAATAACAAGGATTTTCATCACAAGGTCCTCCCCAAGAATACCCTGGCTCCTTTATTTGAATAGCAACTGCAGATTTGAGTTTCTAGAAAGAATGTCCAGCTGTGTGAGGGTAATTTTCAATGTAAATATTGCCTGAAACAGAAACTTATTATTTATAGAGGACATTTCTCAAGCAGGTGCTAACCACTACAGAGTGTAGAAAAAGACCTGAGGGTTCCCAAATAGGCACTTTCAATCAGAGATGACCGCTGTCCTTGGGGATTTGTAGTCTTTCTTCAATTTGATGGATCTATAGCAGTTATGTCACACTGTAATCTGCAAGCCTCTCAATGGGGCATTTGTTTTCATTTTCCTCTTTCCGTTCCATTCCCACAACCAAACACACAGTATTGTTGATGAACAAAAGACAGTAAGAGGTATTGTGCCTAGTGGACAGAACAAGAGTCAGTATACTTGGGTTCCATTACTATGGCCTCTGGCAGACGTTACAATAAGACACAATTAACCTGTTAATCACACCGTAAATAGTAATCCTGCCATATGTTCAACAAATTAATGGCACGACAAAACAGGAAACCAGCCACAAAAATATGTAACATACATATCTATATGTACCATATGGCAGGGTAACCAGAGCTGGCTCGAGACTCAGCTGATTCTCAAACCCAGCACCAGGACCACACAGAAGTCTGAAACTGGATCCAGGGCTGGGACCCACAATCAACTGATTGTCCCAGCCCTGGGGCTGCCCCAGAGTCTTGAACCAGCCCCAGCCGCAGCTCAGTCTTGGGGCTGGGACCTACAGTTTTCAGTCCCAGGGCTGGGACTGCATGGGAGTCTCAAAGCCAGCTTTCAATCGGCACTGTCCCCTTCCACTGGCAAATAATAATAGTGCCATTGCAATCCGATCCCAAAATTGCACGTCCTACCATGCACATCTGGCATGGCAGGAGGTGCAATGGTTGGGATTAAGGACAAGATCCTATTACTCCATTAAATAAATGTGAGCTAGGGCTGACGAGTGCAACTAGCATGCTATGCAGAGATCTGGGTTTTTCATTTGCCGTGGAAAAACATGGTAAAACCCAGATTTTCTCATTTTAAGGAGAAAAACCTGGAATTTGTCCTTTAAAGAAGAAAAATGTGGGGAATGATGGGTTTCCTCTTGCAAGCTGGCAGAGTTCTAGACTATAAAGGGCTGGTGGGAGCAGGAGAAGGGTGGACAGCAGGGGGCATCACATACATGTGTACACACAGACATGTACATGGCCAAGCAGCCTGGAGAGCAGCTCCTCGCAGGTAAGTCTTGTGGTGCAGGGGGGAATTGAGGCCTCTGTAATGAAGGAAGGAGGAAGTTGGGTAGGGCTGGGGCTGCTGCCTATCTGGGACAGGGCATAGGTGCTGGGGGGAGGGCAGTAGGGCAGGGAGCCCACAGCCCGCCCACCCCCAGTGGGCTCTGCTATGATCGTGTTGCCCATGGGGGAGGGGGAGCCAGGCTCCACACTCCACTCAGCTGCAGCAGCTGCTGCCTCCTGGTCCTGTAGCCCTGGCACCTGCCCGCCCCCCCCCACCCTGCGGGGCTGAGGGGTGGGGGGCTCCGGCACAGCTGTGGGGCTCCAGCAGGATGAATGGGCAGTAAGATGGTTAGAAAACTTGCTGGATCTTTGAGCTCAGAGGGTAGTAGTCAATGGCTCAATGTCTAGCTGGCAGTCGGTATCAAGTGAGTGCCGCAGAGGTTGATCCTAGTGTTGGCTACAAAGGACCAACTCGCAGGATCATCATAAAATTCTAGTTTATTAGATGGATGCAAAAGTCAGATCATAAACCTTGGAGCTGATCCCCTCAAATACACACACATTCATGTACACACATACACTCACAGTAGCTAGCTATGAACCGGTGTCAAGATACACCTATCCCCAAGTGCTGAGGTCCACCATCAGTGGCCAGTTGAGGCTTCTTTCAGTGTGATGCTGCTTCAGAAGGGGGTCATCAGGTGGTCCTTCTGGTTGGGCAGGCAGGGGGCTGGTCAGGTCAAAGAGGGCGCCATTGGGGGTCATTCTTTGCTGCCTTTTATCCCTCTCTGGAAGACTCTGGTGACTCCCCAATTTTCAGGCTTACTCAATCCAGGGGTTGTTGACCTCGTGGGATGTCCCCCTTGGTGGTTGCTGGATGGTAGCTGTCAGCCCCAGGGGTCACATCCACAGGTATGTGCAGTCTCAGGAGTCCGTTGATGAAGTTTGATTAATTCACTGCCATGATTAATAGGGCTGTGGGGGGCGGTTTATCCAGGGGTGGGGGTGGTATTCAGTCCCAAGAGTTGGTCTTCGGCATTGATTAGTTCAAACGGGGGTTTCTGTACCTTTAACCGTGAAGTTTCAGGGAGTTCCTGGCTCTGTATTGATCCTTTCCTCTTGTTAGACTGTGGTTTCCTAGGTGTTAATTGCCGCTCATTAACTTGTTATCCTGGCTAGCTACTGTGTTACATAATCAGTCAAGATTCATTCAGGGACCCAGTCAATACAGAGAAGCAGTGGTTGGATTCCCGTCCTTGCTAACATTGTTACATGGTACAACTTACTTTTAAACTTAAAAGTACATTTGTTACAAACTTAAAAAGCATACAATATAAAACATAAAAGGGTGAAATGCCATGGCACATACAACAAATAGACCAAATACAATGGCGGGAGGTGAGGGTGGCACACTGATGCAGAATACTATTTTATACCCATAAAAGCATCTACAAACTATATTTTTATTACAAGTACACCTTATATTCTATAAAAATAATAATATCATAAAATAAGAAGAGGGAGGAAGGAAGAGAAGATAGAAAAGAGAAAGCTTCCCCAAAAGGGGGCAAATGCTGCACAAGGGGATTTTGCCATATAGAGGGGCTTCACATTGGAGGGGGGCAGGCAAAAAAAGGGTTTCTTCCTACACTAGGGCCAGTTTTGTTCAGTATCTTCATCAACAATTGGAAAGATGGGGTGCTGAGTGCACCCTCAGCATGTTCACAGATGATATCAAGCACAGGGGAAGTAGTAGATATGCTGAAGGGTAAGGCTAGAATTCAAAGTGACTTAGACAAATTGGAAAATAGGACCAAAAGAAATGTCATGAAGTTCAATAAGGACAAGTGCAAAGTCCTGCACTTGGGGTTGTTCCCCCCGCCCCCTTAGATGTGAAAACAATTGGAGAGAGTCCAGCAGATGGCAAAGAAAATGGTTAGAGGGGTGGGGGAACATGATTTATAAGGAGAGGTTGAGGGAGCTGGGCTTATTTATTCTGCAAAAGAGAAGACTGAGGAGTGCGCTTAATAGCAAGCCTCAACTACCTACAGGGTTTT